TATCTATAGTGACCTCCTCAAGAGAGTCAAGGAGGCCCTTGAGACATAACCACACTACCGCACTACAGAAGGGTTGCTATTTGAGAAGACAGATGTATTCGACCGCTTATGCGTTCCCAATAGTGAGGAAATCCGCAGTCTGATCCTAGGGGAATGCCATGACACAGAGGGACACTTCGGTTGGTAGAAGACATTAGCCAATCTAATGCGTGCGTACACCTGGCCAGGGATGAAGAATGACTGCATAGAGTACGTTCGCAGTTGTAAAGTGTGCCAGAGGAATAAGTCTACTACACGCGCGCCCCTAGGTCTTCTCAGACCGCTGCCTATTCCTGATCAGCTTGGAGACTCAGTGTCCATAGACTTAATGGATACTTAGGTCAAGAGTAGGCATGGCAAGAGCCAAGTCATGGTCGTAGTTGACCGCTTTAGCAAGTATGCTGTTTTTGTTCCTTTGCCTGCAGAGGCACGCACAAAATTAGTTATTCAGAAGTTTTTCGATCATTGGGTTAGTGATTGAGATAGTCGTTTCACCAGCCAGAACTGGTAGGAACTCATGAGAGTTTACGGACCAAAGTTGTTAATGTCATCTGGCCGTCATCCAGAGACCAACGGTCAGACGGAACAGATGAACAAGATCCTACAGCAAGTTCTGCGCATGTACATTAGACCAGATCAGATCAAGTGGGATGAGATGTTGCCTAAGGTAGCTAGTGCATACAACAACAGGGTGCATCTATCCACCTGTCGCACTCCCAATGAGCTGCACAAGTCCTTTAGACCACGCAGACCGTTCGAAGGACTGAAGCGGGATCAGATTCACAGGCTACCGCCCGGTACCAGGGAGTTCGCAGTACAGCACGAGAAAGAACTCGCAACTGTTGTTGAGGAGCTCAGAAAGGCCCAACACAGAATGATAGAACAGGCCAATAAGCACCGTCGCCCATCGCAGTCTCAGGTAGGCGACTTAGTCTGGGTCAAATCTAAAGAGTTTGCACCTGAGGAGCACATCTCGCAGAAGTTGCTGCCTGCATACCGAGGACCGTGGTCGGTTCTAGAAGTCAAGGGCGGAGAGGATGGACCGTCCTACACCATAGAGATTCCAGCACACCTCCATACATATCCTGTGTTCCATGCTTCAAAGCTGTTGCCATGTGTCACAAGTCAACAGTTCCCTTCAAGAAGATCCATGATCCCCCCGGATATGGATGGAAGTTGTGACATTGACGGCATTGTAGACGAGGATGTGATCAGAACAGGAGGTAGAGGTTGTCCCCAGGAACAGTACAAGGTCCAGTTTGCTTATCAGTAAACCGGAAGACGACCGCTGGTTTACAAGAACTGAACTTCTAGAGACAGCTCCCGACATAGTCAGAGCCTACGAGCGCGATAAGAAGGGTAAATGTAACGAGCGTGAGGCTGAGGGTGAGCTGAGGGAGAGGAGAGAGAGGGAGAGAGTGAGAGCACACACACACACTCACTCACTCGACACGACTGACTCGGACTGAGGATCGGACGCAAACACAATGGCAAGTCACAAAGTCGAAGTCTTGGATTCGGAATGCCGAAACAGCAAGTCACACTGAGTACGAGTATAGCAGCCGAGAACTGGTACGAGACTGGTCCCCGTACCGTACGGGGAGCCGGTATAAGTACCGGTGACACGTACGGTACTAGGGGCATTTCTGCAAAGGCCCCGAGGGAAGAACTGAAAAATTTAGTATTTGAAAGTGGCGCCCGAATTGCAGCATGGCGCCAATTGTCCAAAATCCTACGGTACCAAAGGAGGGGTTTGGAAAAAGGGTGTCAGGCCGAAAACGGGATGCAGCTGAAATAGCAAAAGATAGACCAGGGATCGAGCCCTGGCGGAGTCCGTAATACTATCCCCTCCCTCTAGAAGGCAACGTCCCGGCTGCCAAAAATCATGAAACAATGCTGAAATCTCGATCACTGGTTAACAAGTCGAAAGGGAAGAGGGGTATAATGTGGGTGGCAGGGGCTGCGGGAGTAAGAGGGAACAGGGTTTGATATCGGTGAACAGAGTTGTCCTACAGATGAACTAGGGGGGGCAGCGAGGAACAGGGTAGTCCTACGAATGAACTAAAGGGAGATAGGGAGCAGGGTGGTCCTACTGATGAACTAAGGGGACTCATGGTTCGCTATAGGTTAAGTGGGAACAGAGTTCAGGGCACAGGGAAACTTCTATTGATGTTCTACTGGGTAAGGGAAACGGTGTTCAGGAAAACATGGCATTGCTATTTGATGTTGTAATGGGTAAGGGAAACAATGGTCAGGGGAACAGGGGATGTCTATTGATGTTCTAGTGGGTACGGGGAACAATGGTTGGCAAAACAGGGATCTGCTAATGATGTTCTACGGGGTTGTCAAACTCACAAAATGTTTGTTCAGGGTGCGAAGGCTGGTGTGTCCGAAGGAGTCGGAAGCAGAATCTCATGTAGGAACAAAGTGTCCAAGTGTCTTGAAAGGGGGTCTGCAGCGGACTTGATCAGGTCTTTGGAGTAGGTGGTAGAAGCGGTCTTCAGCAGCTGCGATAGGTAGAAGTCCAAGAAGCGTAGTAGTAGTTCAAGTGTCAAAGTCCAAGTGCTAGGGTGCGTCCGGTACACGAACTGCAATGAGGTCTGATCTGGAAGCAAGGAAGTCGCAGACTGATGCAAAGATCCATGTCACAAGTTGCTGCTCCAGTAAATCCGCGAGTTAGGGATGCCGACCAATGAAACAGCATGGTGGCCAAACCAACTGCATAATCTCCATGAACAGTGAGGCAGCAGGCCATCGTCCTCGTGCGCTTGCCATTAGATCCTTTATCGTCGGCGTCACGCAAGTTCACAAGCATTGGACAAGAGAGACAAGGTAGTGGAGAGGACAGATGGGACAAGGCTAGGCGAGGGCAAGGGCAGATCAGACATCAAGGATGAGGATCAAGGGAAGGGTGGACTGGGTTCAAGGGTGTGTGTAGAGCAGGGTTGCAAGGGTTTTTTGCGGGGGTTTATGCCATAGTGATATAGGTATCTAGGACATAGGATTAGCACGATCATAGGCGCGGACAAGTTTCATGGCGTTCTTAATATTAGAGAGAGGTTCCCATGTAGATTCTGAGTTGGGGTATCCGGTCCATTTAACTTTGTATTTAGTGATTGGTTTCGGATGATCAGAAACCTGAGTGGTTCGTCGGCCGATGATGGTTTCGACAACGAATTCATGGCCTGTGGGTAGCATGATTGGTGGAGGTCTAGGATATGGGCGGTCGGCGAACTGGAGCGGGGATTCATGGTATTCTTTTAGGTACTCGACATGGAA